AACTTCTGAGCCCTGCTCAGCTATTAAGTGCAGATACATTCGGCTAAAATTGAAAAAATATGGCAGGCAAAATAAATTAAACACTTAATGAAAAAGAAGCTATAGCATAAATTGCAAACACAGGCAATAAAGATGGATCACATTAAGACTGTGTGCCACTTAGCAGTTGTTGTTCATTACTTGTACAGTACTGTACACATCTGTCATATCCCTTTGTGTTGGTTTCAGCCCACTTTGTCCTTTTATTGTGGCGCTTTATTTGAATTAGGATAAGTTGTCATTTTGCAACTATCAATGACATATTAATGATTACATCATCTGTGTTAATCTGCAATCAGTTTCAGCTGTGTTCTAAGAAAATAATACAAAGGAAAGTCCTCATTTAAAAGTCAGGACTGAACAACATCAGTTTCCCATCATTTAAGAGGAAAATTAGGTCTTGGTTCTACCTGTCAGTTAACTGTGTCTGTCTTTGTAACATCACTGTTGTCTGCATGTTCTCTATACCAAAGAGTCAGCCCTCCAAGCCACCAGCTCTGGTATTTTCAATTGCTATCAGAGCCCCAGGGGTTCCCACTATGCCATGATTAGTACCTTTACTGGAGGAAGTCTAGTGAGGAAGAATAAGAGAAGAGGGAGAACTGTTAAGGGAGAAAGGAGCTGTCTCTCTCTGGCTATTGTTTGGACATAGTTCCTCTCACGCTGCATTGACCACAGACAGGGCGTGGCTGAGGGAGGCCAGGCAGGGAATGTTAGAAGGTGGGGGTGAGGTACCCAGGTGGTGGATACAGGGGGAAGGTTAGAGCACATTACATACTTTCTCTGCATGTGGACCATGAACAGGAAGGCGGGTGGTCCCCGGAGAGAGTTACAGAGGGAGAAAGAGAAAGAGCTGGAGCGGGTGGGATTTTGCCCTTGTAGTTTGGCGCTCTGTTCCCAGCCCTGATTCTGTGCTCAATGAAGTAACAAGAGACCCGGGGCTTCTAACAAACTAAGGCCAGATGGGGAGAGGATTCTTCCTCACAATTACTCTGCAGCAGAGAGCATTAAACCCAGTATAGCTTCTCCTCTACTGAAAAAAGATAATCACTGGGTTTTAGAAGAACAATTTATCAACACTGTTTTACACTAGGATGTACAGTTTGGAGGACGTTTTCAAGGCTTTCGCTGTCTTATCTTCCGTTCTCCTAGTATGCCACCATTTCTTAATAGCAGCTATAAAAGAGTTGCAAAGTTAATGGAGGTGCCGGTTCTGGAAGTTTTTTTTTAAATGATATCTTTAATTTTATCAACTTACCAGAGAAGTATTGACGATAAAAAATCCTTTGAGTGCTGAGTATAATAAAAATGCCTTTAATATGTAATATTTAACCTGTTACTAGGTTTTATTTCTTGTATCTTTGGCTTTCTATCACTTAACTAGGTGTGTTCAAACACGTTTGGCCTTATTTGCACTGATGATTCAACTAAGTGAGGTTAATCCCCATCCAAGCACTTTTACTTTCATATTCCTTATCATGGGAAATAAGTACCGTAACTCCCCCCTATTTGCATTGATATTGCGCAAACCCCCTGTTCCTGACTATGACCAACTTCCTGGGCAAGTGGAAAAAAAAAATATATACACATACACGATTGCTTTCTCCTTTATGTCAAACTCATTATTCCCCTTGTTTAAAGGAGCTGCTAATCACCCATATTCCTCAGTAAGAGCTGCTAACAGCTGCCTTATGCTTGGGTTTTAGAAAGGTTTATAGATTAGAATTGGCAAAGTCCCATGAGTCTGGGATGAGCATTTTCTCACCAGCCAACTGTAGGGCACTGATCTGCCAAGAGTATAAATAATGTAAAATCCCATAAGGTTAACTCATATTGATTTTAGAGGACAAAATATTTTCATACAGCTTCTGTTCCTTGAGACAAATTGAATACAAGATGTGTGTTTTTTCCCTCACAAGTCAGATGGACATTACATGCGGCAGCAATGGTGGAAATGTGGTGAAACATCAGCGTCGTTTAGGAATCTTAAAAAGGCCTTGACATCAACGTGATGGATTAAGACAAAGGCCAATAATAAAGAGGTGTCATCACCTCACCTCTGAATAGATTACTGTCAGTGACTTGAATAAAAACGATCAATCGTGATACAGGGTGTAGAGAATGAAAGGTCTGGGTCTCTTGCTCCTTGCAGTTAGTTCATTAATGACAGACTCCAGGACCAACATCAACAGCAGGCTGAAGTACAGTGTTTAGCCTTATTGGGCATCTGTCTAAGATGTCATTGAAGCTCCACGTGAAGGTGAAACACAGCAAAAATTCTGACATTTTGGCAGAGTATAATATATTTACTAGAAGCCAGGTCATGATATTACAAAAACCTTGTCTGCCTTGATCCTCACAGAACAGAGTTGACAAATGGACTAACAAACAGCCTGGTCTGGAGAGGGAAACACGCCTACTGTAAAGAGCATTTAATCTCTCAAAGCCAGATGAATTATCTGAAACTTAAAATCTTAAAAATCATCCTTAGTCTAATCGGTTCCCAGGCTTATCCCTCTTCATTTAGGCTTGGCTGTGTTAGTCTGTCAGTTTGAGGTAAAAGAGCATGGTGGAAGACAGTGTACGGCTGTGTTTAGTTTAATTTGTCCCCGGCTGCCGGCATGGCCTCTGAGAACAGGAAGTATGACATCACTGCCCTGACATCCAGGAATGTGGGAATGTCAGACTGCCTGTTAACGCTGCAAAAATTAAACAGAGACCGAAAGCAAGCAGGGTGGACACCACACCAGATAACTCAGTGCAGTAGGGTCAGTCCGTCTCTAAGGCCACTTCACTGACACACTGTTGTGTGGTCAATAAATTGAACCTGGCTCAACTTTTGCTGCAGTGCAATGCAAGGCAAGGCAATGCATTGGCCAATCAAATATTCACAAGGGCACATTCCTGGTAGAATATTTAGTCATGTGAATGCTACAGCTTACCACATGACCATCACAATGAATGACTAGACTGCTGATATTATAACTTTCCAGAGCTCCCTCCTCATAACATTATAAACCACTGTTTTTTATTTGGGTGTGTGTTAAGCCTTCAAACACATTCATCTGTAACTCACACTATGCTTCTTGGATCCTATTGCATTGCTTCACTGGCAGCTGTAACGTCATGCCCCCAGCTACTATTGTACTTTTGAAAACAGGCCTGTGTTCATTCTGAATGCCCACGAAGAGCGGAGAACCTGAAACGTCTGCCATACAATACTTGTTCAGGTACCATGGCTGCATCTCAAATCTCAGCAGTCAAGTGAAGGTAACCACCTGTAGCTTATGTCTTATTATATACTAACAGTGCTCATGCATAGACAAGTCACCGTAATGCAAACTGCCATGTTCACATACTTGCGTGGACCTGCTAAAAATGATCTCAAATAGGCAGCAGATTAAGGTCAGATCAACCCTGGACAATACTTGAATTACTTTGTTAAGAACTCCTAATTTGCATAATGTAAACTTAATTAAAAACAGCAACACTTGAGGTGGTTATTTTATTGTTAATAAGAGCACAGGAGGAAAAAGCAGTGCCAGCAACAATTTCTTTTTCTCTCTAATAACTTTCAGCCTTTGTAGTTGTGATCTGCTCAAGTGCTGTTAACCTTGCATCACATCCCGATTAAATGCCTACACTGTTCATGTACTGGAGAGATACTGTACTACAGCAGTTAAGTATTTCACTTCCATTTCCAAAGCCACTGGTGCCTACACTTTCCTTAATGCAGCTTCATAGCATCACTTCATCAGATCCTCCTCACCTGGTAAATACACACATCTCCACAAGCAGACTTTCTGTTTCAAAGCTTAAACTCTCTTAGCCCAACCTGAGACACCTTGATGACATCAATATGACATCATGTGGAAAGTTAGTTGAATGCCCTTATGATTGCAGCTTGTAAATGCATAGTGTTCATTCTTGAGAACGCTCATCCAACACTCTGAGACAACACAGTGCACACAATATGCACACCAGTACATGAATGCAGCAATGTCATCCTGCATTCTGTTGAAAGCTTTACATTTGTCACAACTAATTATTTTCTCAGTAAACTTAGTTGATTATAAATGGCAGTTTCTATTCCATTAACACATCAGGGCAACAGGCAAATAAGATTTCAATGTTGTTCCAATCCAACAAAACAAAACTCATCATTAATGAATCCAAGATGTCAGCTATGTATCATGAGATAGTTGAATTAGACACAGGTCATTGTCTTACACAAGCTGAAGCATACATAAAACAGGCAGGAAGATAAAAACTGCAAGCAGGCATCATTCAGCATGCAACAGCTAAACATAAAATCATTTTTTTGGGGGTCAGTTAACTATTACCTATGGCAACAAGAGAGATATTAGTCAGCATCACTTCAAGCCAGAACAATTTCAGCCTGTAGAAACACAATGAGCAGCCCTTGAAAACTTCAGTTAAAAACTCAGCCTCATTTATCACATCTTTTTTCCAGCTAAGTAACAGTGCCATGGTGTTGCCAGCCCCCATCAGAGATGTTGGCATACAGTTCCTGAGCCTAAAGCACAGTTTAAGGCTCCATGCCAGACTCAGGGAGAGAGCAGAGAAGGAGCCAGAGATGTAGGGAATGCAGCCCCAGAGGAGCCCAGCTGCTGCCTGGGAAACCAAACCAGAACCGACTTTGGCCAATGCTCTCTAACCCCAACCCCTCCCGTCTAATAACAACACTCAGTCTGTCTCATGTTCCTTTCCATCTAGTCTGTTCCCTTCCACTGTCATTCTGTTGTGGAGTTTGGGGGGAAATAAGTCAGGGGAGGAGCGGTGGAATGATATTAGTCACCCAGATGCACATTCTCCAAATTCTTCCCACTGTTAATTTCAAAACATATCACACATGTTCATGTTCTCACTCTCACACAGAAAAGCAAGGGATTAGGTGTGAGTATACACACACACACATTTACACATGCTGTGACACTCACCTGGGTAGTGGAGGCTGTCATCATGGTGGTTGTGCTGGTGGTGGTTCTCCAAGGCAGGGGGACTGCTGGCACCCAGCTCTGCCAGTCTGCGGCTGGTGGCGGAGAGCTCAGAGCGGAGGTTGGTCACTTCCTGACTGGCAGACTGGATGGCCCCATCAATCCTCTGTGCCAGCTGTTTATTGTCCTCCATCATTTTAAGGATTTTCTCCTGAGGACCAAATCCACACAGAGCAGCATGGTGTCAAGTGCAGCATTAGAGGGAATGAAGCTAAGACTCTTTCCTCCTCCTCTTATCTCCCTCTTCTCCTCTTCCTCCTCCTCCTCCTCCTCCTGTGTTTCTTCTCTCACAGTTTAGTTTGCACATAAAAAAGCCAAAACGCCGGTCCCTCCTCTGTTCTCCGGAGAGCAGCACAACAGAAGTGATGTCTACCTGTTACTACATCTAGAATAACATCAATGTGGCCAAGCACTACACAGTCAGAAAAAACATGTGTGTGTTTTCAGGACAAAGAAGAAAAGGAGTGAACAGAGGAGAAAGACAGGATGAGAGAATGCAAAGAGAGCAGACAGAGGAGGAAAAAGAGATGCAGCCCAGCAGGCAGAAGGGAAAGTGAGTGCTCCCGCTGAGGAGAATGTGCTGTGAGCAGCTGCTCGCAAAGAGGACCCAGTATACACTGAGATGACATGCAGCCTTTTAAATGGACTGTACCATGTGCCGGAGGACCAGGGGAGAGGGGGGACATAGTTGGACTGAGCTGCTCTCCAACAACTCTAACTACAGAGTGGGTTGTGTATCCCACACCCTATGGAGTCTGTAATAGAATTAACAATTGGATCTATAAAAGGGGAAAAGTACAGATTTGTCTCTCTCCTTCTTCCTTTCTCCTTGTCCCAGCACTCAGAGCTTGGCAGCAGTATTGAACCCTCTGACAAGCACTTGTCAAACCCTCTATATCGTTTCACTCCTGCTCCTGCTATCCCTTCCTCCCTCTCGCTCACACACCCGCTGTCTTTTGTCTCACCCTCCCCCCCTTTTCATTCCATTATATATTCATCTCTTTGTCCTGGGAAAACTCACCCCCACGTCGGTGGAAGGGGGCTGGCTCAAAGCGCCCAGCGAGAAAACATTTCATCTCTGAGAGCAAACTTAGCAGAGGACAGAGGCACAACCCTTTAATGGGCTGAACACAAAGAGGAGAGGCCCAGAGAATTACAATTGAGCTGTGACGAAAACACAGTGGAGCTTTACTTCTTTGATCAAAAACAGTTGGAAGGATTATATTTCAGTTTGTCTGTGGGCTCTGCAAACAAACACCACTGCCATCAGTTCTTATCTGGACAGCTGTAAAATTCCATCACACACACACACACACACACACACACACACACAAAGGTTAGAGACTGTTCATCTTAACTTAAAACAATCCCAGATATTGCTAAGCTATCATAATTTAGAATCTGCATCTGACATTTAATTTCAGGTTAATAAAAAAAAATCCTATCTTTGGCAAGAAACCGAGGCAGATGAGAGATACATCGTCCAGATTTCGTCATCCAAGTTGCAGGTGATACCAGCTCAGTGCTCATTGGTATTCACACGGTGGCAGAAAGACAATCAAAGACTGTAAGCATGTGAGGCTGACAATAGAATGAGATAACAGTAATGATAATGTAAAGTCATTAATGAAGTAAATATCCCAAATGCCTGCCACTTCCAACTTTTCCAGTGAGAAGATTTGCCCCTTTCCGTAGTTTTATCTTTGTAAATTGAATACACAGTATTTGGACTGTTCACTGGAAAAATGCATAGAACAATGTTTCACTATTGGCAAACATTCTGTAAACAAAACAATTATCAAAAAATCAGCACATTATTTACTGTTCAACTTATTTTAGCATGTTAGCATGCTAACATTTGCCAGCTAGTACTAAACACACAATGAGAATGTTACTACTTTTGCTGGTGTTTGGTCATAAATACATATAAACTGAACATTTTATATGTATATTAAAAATCATGGGATTACAAATGTCACTACGCTTTATCCTCTGGGGCTCATGAATGTTTTTACACAATTTCATTTCGATCACTCCATTAGCTGATGGGATATTTCACTCTGGATGAAAGCAGTAGACAGATTGACCAATATTGCCAATCTCACCACAGCATTAGGTGCCTAAAAATCATTAGTTACACCTATAAGAAAGACTTTACTTCTACAGCAGTGCTATATCGATGTTTCTCTTGTTGATGTTTGTCTCCATTTGTCCTCTTGCCTTCTCTCTAGTCTCTTTTTAGTGTATAATCTTTACATCTCCACTGTTCCACTAATGATCCACAAACAGAACAATTATTATAGTTAGTAGAGAAGATCTATGCCAGCACTGGCATTTTTGATCATATCACATGTTAGCACGTCATTATCACAGTCTAGACAGTTACATCACTGCCCCCCATTTGTGCACTGGCCCTAATTTGCAGCTGATTAGCAAAAGCCAATGTATCACAATCTGTGACACAGGGCAAGGATGAGGGTTAGCTCCACTTTTTGCTTTACGTAGAATAGGCTCGTAATTCCAATGAAACTATTCTTCTTAAACCATGTCAGAACAAAGGCTTCCTTCATATAACCTCGAAACTGGAACTCAAAAAGGAAATTAATAATTTTTGAGTTGAGGGTTGGGACGTGTCCCAGATTCACATCCATTACCAGACAAATACTTTGAGGACATATAAATGTGGCATGTCCGAAACACTCCCAGTCCTCCTCTGTCTCCATAACTGGTGTCAAAGCATGTATGGCCCTGACAGAGACCTTAGACCAGTGCAGGAATTTGTTTGACTCCCTAAAATAACCAGTTCTCCAACCAGTGCTTCTCTGGGTTTGACTCATTTTTCCCCAACTTGACTCAGTGTTTGTTGTTAGTTGGATCACTTGTTTGATGCTATTAACAGGAAGTTTAATTAAGTGTGCAGAAGGGGAGGATTTGCAGTTAAAAAGAAGTATTGATAAACAGTCACTGTGATTGTCTGCCTGGGTTAATTGAATATCGACGAATCCTCCACACGCTGGAATGCTTTCCATTTTTTCCCAATAGCAAAGTGATATAATGTCCTGCTCATCTATTTATACTGGTCTTATCAAGGGCCTATGGAAAATATCCACCTCTCACTACTAGACTTACTAATGTCTGACAAATACTATGGGAAACACAAGGATTTATATTCCTTGTCAGGCTGTGTAAGCATGTGATAGTGTCATCTGTATTAAGGATGAGCAGAGGAAGCTGAAGAACGAAAACTACACGAAAAATTATTTAAAAGGGTATGCTAGGACAACTGTGATGTTAGCTGAACGATGTGTTTATTCATGTGTGCACACCTGAGCTGTGAACAAATCAGCAACCACGTTTCATAAAATAATTTCCATCTGGGTGATGACATGAGATCAGGAAGATGCATCAGGGTGCAAAGGAACACTTGATTCTCAGACCTCAGCAATGTGTCTGTCAAGGACTGTTCCCACAGAGCTGCCTGGTGGCACACAATACAAGGCTGAATCGTCCACATCCAGCAGAGGACATCTGGTGAGAAGAGATACTTTAACAAGTGAGTGAACTGTTGAAATCAAGACATGGTGCAACCAGGTCAGTGTCTGCAGGTGCAGGTGGACCTGAAGGAAAATCCTTTGCATAAGGTGGTAAAATCTCGACACATGCCTGTCCCTTTACCACTTCCAGAGATAAGATTTGCCTGAGCAGATCCATTCCACAGTATCACATTACTCTGTAATTTAATGTCCATTGGGGTAGCACAATATTACAAGATACTGCAGCACAAGACCATAAAGCTTCAGATACTGTTTATAGTCCCTCAGACCTGTATTAATTGATTGCCCAGCGCTGGCAGCTCACTAAGCTTTAAGTATAACACACACAAAAAACATTATCCACTTAGAAAGTTAAACATATTAGAAAACAGTAGTGTTTTACCCAGTGAGCAAAACTGAAACAAAACTAGCATCCATTAGCAGCTGCATTTCTATCCATCCGACGAATGTAAATCCAACATTCATTCTCCTTTTAGCTCCGGTTTTAGTCTCCACCAAATTCTGAGGGAATCTGGCTAAATGTTTCACTATGTTTGCTAACTTTGACTACCACTGATGAGTGTTTGGTGCTAAGCAGATAGTGTACAGTGGATTTTTAGATTACATTCACATACACCGGCTGCCTGTTGTGACTAAAAATGATGCTGATAAAAGTGGTGAGAGTGAATCGAAACAATAAGGAAGCTGACTGGAAAACCAAAACAATGAACTGAAGTATACTTAAGAGATACCTAAAGCTCTGTAGAGATGAAGGGAACTGCAGAATACACAGTTGTTTGATTCTTTACATTGATTATAGCAGCTTTAAATATCTCTTTTGCAAATATTTAATTCACTTGATTAGTGATAACAGACATTTTGCAATGTGAGTGAGGGATATAAAATTCGATAGCCTAAACACATAACACCTCTTCAGTAGATTTTAATCATGTCTGGAGGGCTTTATTACTGCCGGTTGCTAACATGCAAACATATTTTTTTATATACATGTATTCTATATACTGTAGAGCTGCTGAACTTCTGAATTCTAAATCTCAATATGTCAGAATGTTCAGGCTGCTGGGGACTGAAACAAAACAGCAGGTTTCAGGAAATTTTACTCTGGAAATAAAGGCTGTCTTGTTACATAGTGCACTGTTGTTCGCCATCAATGTAGTGTGTGTTTGTGTGTGAAACAAAGGAAAAACAGAAAAAGGTTTTGGATGAGAGAAAGAATTTGAGTGAGTGTCTTTATCAAGGTTACAAATTAAAGCTGTTTTCTGTGCCACTACATCTTGCTTTCCTTTGCCAACATTTGTGACAAACAAGGTACTTTAGACAAAACTGTCTTTTGTTCAAACAACACACCACTTTCCCACAGTAAGCCGCGCTGACACATTTCAACATGTTCGGAGGTGGTTGATTCTTCTATTTATTATAGGAAAGAATATGTGCTCTGTGCAACTAAATATCAACTGTGCATTGTTTAAGGTGAGGCAACATAAAAAGACCATCAAGCATTACTTTCAGTTCAAAGTTCAAAGTGTTTATTTGTCATATGCACAGTTAGGAAACATGTTTCCCTGTACAATGAAGTGTACTTGGCAATAAGTCACGT